AACGACTGGTCGCTATGATGTGCACTGACCACCAGGGGGCAGATGCTCAACACAGGAGCTGCCCTCTGGTGGTCAGTGCACTCCCACAGGGGAGCGCTGCTCAGCCAGAAGTTGGGCTCACAGGCTGGCGAGCACAGTGGCAGGCCTAAGCCATCAGTCAGACATCCCCCAAGGGCTCCTGGATTGCGAGAGGGTGCAGGCCAGGCTGAGGGACCGCCCTCCCCCCCCCTCCCCCCCCCCCCCCAGTGCACAAATTTTTGTGCACCGGGCCTCTAGTACTGTAATAAATGGGCTTACGTTTATTAAGTTTAAAACAAGAGTTTGAGTGTTTTTCAATTACAGGGGTCCTCAAACTTTTTAAACGGGGGGCCAGTTCACTGTCCCTCAGACCGTTGGAGGGCCGGACTATAGTTTAAAAAAAAAACTATGAACAAATTCCTATGCACACTGCACATATCTTATTTTGAAGTAAAAAAACAAAACGGGAACAAATACAATATTTGTATTTGCATGTGGCCCGCGGGCCGTAGTTTGAGGACCCCTGGTCTAGACCTTTGGATAATGAATGGGTCAATTACTGATCTGTCTTCAGTCTCCGTTTGGTAATACCTATCATCATCCCATTAGCATAGGCAGTAAGAGTTTTGGGAACTGTACATGCAACCTGCTTGTAATACTCCCAAGAGGCTGTTAGCATCTGCCTCTAGGGCAGCGGTTCTCAACCTGTGGGTCGCGACCATCGGAAAACACATATAGCATATCAGATATTTACATTACGATTCATAACAGTAGCAAAATTACAGTTATGAAGTAGCAATGAAAATAATTTTATGGTTGGGGGGTCACCACAACATGAGGAACTGTATTAAAGGGTCGCGGCATTAGGAAGGTTGAGAACCACTGCTCTAGGGCAAGGTACAAATAGTGATAATGGAAGTTGTGGAGGGGAGTAGGTGGTAATCATTTGAGCAAAACAAGATACTGGCTGGAACTGCTGCCAGAATGATTCAGAGCTGGATTGTTAATAAAAAGGAAATATGAACAAAACTCTAGAAACTTACTTTTGCTGACATACTCAAAATTTCCTTATAATTTTGTGTTTATAATAATCCTACTGTTAATGTCAGTAATGGCTAATGTTTATTGAGCATAAACTTAAAAACAGTGCATATGTATTAACTAATTAAATCTTAACAACCTTACAAGATAGGTACTATATGTACTCTTACCCCTTTTACAGATGTGGAATACAACTTGTGATTGCTAGAAAGTGGATCTAATTGCTAGTCTGGATCCAGAGCCCACTCTTAGCCACTGTGCTTTTCTGTAGCCTTTGAGGCAGAAACCTAACATTAGTAGGATAAGTCTCCATTCTAAGCTATTGTTGAAAGCCTTTTAAAGCTTTTTTAAATCACAGGATCCCACAAAAAGCTGATAAAAAAAATACACAGTAATTTAAAATGTTAGTGCTTCATAAAAGGTAGAAAATGAGACTGCAATAAGCATACTCAGAAGATACAGAAACACAGGAATGGATGACTATAGAAAAGGCAAGGCCCTAAGCGGTTTGGCTCAGTGGATAGAGCGTCGGCCTGCGGACTGAAGGGCCCCGGGTTCCATTCCGGTCAAGGGCATGTACCTTGGTTGCGGGCACATCCCCAGTAGAGAGTGTGCAGGAGGCAGCTGATC